TCTATAAAACCAATTTAGGCTGCAAAACAAAATTTTTTGCAAAATTCTTTTGAATAAAAATATTTTTTTCCGCGAGAATTTCAATTTCATACAAATTCCTAAGAAATGTTATGTTAGACACAAACGTCATAAAAGCATAATAAACGGTTGATATAATTGTATGGCAAAGGTAGAAAAATGAACTAAAATATAAAAAAAAACCGAATAGAAATTGCAGTCTTTTTATACATTTATATTATTTAAGAATTTTACAACCCCAAAATTAAAATCAAAAATATAAAAAAAAACCCACATAACAACATTTAAAGACAATAAAAACCAAAACACCAAAAGAAGAAAAAATCATTAAAAATAAAGGTTTGTTCTGCTAGACATACAAACAAGCCAACTAGAAGTGGTTGCCGGTGAGTCCTTATACACATGAAGAATGGTTGGACGTTCACATTTGCCACAAACTAATTTATTTAATTAAATGTATAAACGAGTCACTAATTTAAAGAGTTGAGGGTGCATATGTGATGATCAATAACAAAAATACAGAAAATATAATAATATGAAAAATACCGCAATGTTTAGCAGATAAATTTTAAATTTTGTGTTTAGATTGGCCAATTATTTCAAAAATTTTAAACTTCTCTAAAATACAGGGAAATAATATAGAAAGTTGAAACATTTATTTCTAAGATTTAAGTATAGAAATTAGAGAATTTAAATGAAAATTATAAAATTAATGAAAAAGCTTTGGCTGATTTACTGTTATTTTAGCAAAAATTGCTGAAATACCAAATTAGTATAATAACAATTTGGCTTTAAATTTGTTTAAATTGTTTTAACATTTCAAAACTTTAAGAAAAATATATATAATTTGTAAGATTTATAAAAATACTGGTTTTTTTTTATATCCTTAATATTTCTCAAAATTCCTTGAATTGTTGTCTATTTTATATAATTTTTGCTAAATTATTAATTTTAATTACATTATATTTTTTTGCCATTTCTTTCAACCAATTCTATTTTCTTTCATTTCTAACTAATTTTCCAAATTTCTTGCTTTTTTCTTCTAACTTTTATCATACAATTCCCCCTCCCCCGCACCATATGTTTCTGCCAACAAACCTTAACAACCATAATATTGATTAACCACAACGGGTGGTAACCTCATAATCAGACTTCAAACTGATGATGATACTACTTCCCTTGGTGCTAATGCTGGCTGGTGGTGGTGGTTGGTATGAAATGAATGACTAGGATTTTATAACACACAAAAGATGGTAGCAAATCCTTTTTGCTTAGAAGAAAAAAAAGTTTAAACAAGTTAAAGCGAATCATATTGCACAATTACCTTCTTTTTTGTAAGAGAATTGGGGTTTAAGGGAGGGTTTCTTCTTAGGATAATATAATTATAAAGATCAAGTGGCCTTAGATAATCGATTTGAAACAAAAACCTTATTCCAAATAAATTCAAATAGATTTTTATTACGATTTCACCCACAAATAATAGAAACTAATACCAGTGAATAATAATCTACAACTACAACCACGCACCCCTCCTCCCCTTAACAACTTGGTAACCTTTTTTTTATGGGAAATAAATAACAAATTGTTGTTAAATAATTGAACAAATAAACAATACATAATGTACATTAGCACTTCAACAGTGGTTCCCAAACCGCTAATTATTTCAATTATTTAAAATTTAAATATTATAAATAATTTTAGCAAAATACTGGTTTTTCCAAAAGCTTAATTTTCGTTATTTAAAAGGATTATACTAGAAAAGTTTCAAAAAAGAAATAAAATTCTACAAATTTTTAAAAATTTTTCAAAAATACTGGTTTTTCTCAAATTAAATTTTTCTTCAAATGAAAAGCAATTTTCCTAAAATAGTTAAATTTTAGCAAGAAAAATAAATTTTAAGCAAAAAATCTCATTAATTGTAAATATTTCTATAAATTAAAAAAATACTGGTTTTTCTAAAAACATAAATTTCTTCAATATAAAAGCAATTTTTAAAGAATTTTCTTCAAAAATTGATTACAACAAGAAAATTAAATTTTTAGCAAAAAAAATCACATTAAATTTAAATATTTCTAGAAATTAAAAAAAAATACTGGTTTTTCCAAAATATAAATTTCTTCAACTTAAAAAAAAAAATTCTTAAAAAATTGTATACAAGTAATTTATTAAAACAATAAAATTCAATTTCAAATGAAAAACCTCCTGAAAATTTAAGATTTTTGCAAAATTTTAAGAATACTGGTTTTTCGGAAACACAATTTCTTTAATTTTAAAAAAAGTTTCTTCCAAAATTTACTAAAAAATATGAACTAATAACAAAAGCAACAACAAAAACCAAAATAGAAATGTTAATAAAGTTAAAGATTTTCATCAAATTTTAAGAATACCGGTTTTTCAATTTAAACAAATTTTTTTCAAAAATTAAAAAAAATATTACAAAAGCTACAATAAAAACCAAACAAAAATCTTAATAAAAGTAAAGATTTTCATAAATACTGGTTTTTTGAATACACAATTTCTTCAATTTCTAACAAATTTTCTTCAAAAATTTACAAAAAAAATTAAAGTTACAAAAAATCTTAATAAAAGTAAAAATTTTCATAAAAGTTTTAAAAATACTGGTTTTTTAAAAACACAATTTCTTTCATTTCAAACAATTTTTTTTTTTTTTCAAAAATTTAAATTTAAAACAAATTTTCTTCAAATATTTACAAAAAAAAAAAAAAATGAATAGTTACAAAAAATCGTAATAAAAGTAATGATTTTTATAAAATTTCAGAAATACTGGTTTTTCAAAAACAAAATTTCTTGAATTATAAACAAATTTTCTTCAAAAAAAGAATTATTTACAAAAGCAACAACAAAAGCAAACAAATAATCTTAATAAAACTAAAGTTTTTTATAAAATTTCAAAAATACTGGTTTTTCCTAAAACATACTTTCTTTAATTTCAAACAAATTATCTTTACAAATTTATAAAGATATGAATAAATTATGACAGTAACATTTAATTCTTAAAAAAAAAAATTTAATAAAAGTGAAGATTTTATAAAATTTCAAAAATACTGGGTTTTCTTAAAGCTAATTTTTTCATTATTTAAAAGAAATTTCCTAAAAGAAATGAAAAATATACACTATAGCAACAAGTAAACTTAATTCCTAGCAAAAACTTGCAATTAATATGAAAATTTCTTAAATTTATCAAAAATATTGGTTTTCTCAAATCAAAAATTTCTTAAATTTAAAAGCAAATTTATTAAAATCTGTGGTAATACAGTAAAATTTTAGCAAGAAAAATAAATTTTAAGCAAAAAATCACAATAAATATCAATATTTTTACAACTAAAAAAAAATAGTGGTTTTTCAAAATATAAATATCTTCAATTAAAACCCATTTTTCTTAAAGAATTTTATGCAAGTAATTAACTACAATAAGAAAACTAAATTTAAAATGAAAACCTACACAAAATTAAAGTTTTTGGACAAATTTAAAAAAATACTGGTTTTTCGAAAACACAATATCTTGAATTTTAAACAAATATTCTTTAGAAATTGACCAAAAAATTAATTAATAACAAAAGCTATAACAAATTCATAGCAAAAAATGTTTACAAAAGTAAACATTTTTATAAAATTTTAAAAATACTGGTTTTTCCAAAGGCTAAATTCTAAAATTTTAATATAATTTTCCCGAAATGTTTAATGAAATGAATCAAATTTTAACGAAAACTAAATGTTAGTTACATTAAAAAATCCTTAAAAATGTAGAGATTTCTACAAAATTAAAAAATACTGGTTTTTGCAAAAGCCTTTAATTCTTTAACTTTACATACATTTTCTGAAACTTGTTTATGAAATGTATTAAATTATGTAGAAAAATAAAATTTTAGTAGAAAAACTTTTAGAAATTTATGGATTTCTATAATATTAAAAAATACTGGTTTTCCCATAACTTGATTTCCTTAAATTTAAACTAAGTTTTTCTTAAAATTTTCCTGAAATTAATAAGAAAATGTTTGGAATAATGGATTAAAAGTTAAAATAACTAACAATAATAACGATTTATCTAAAATGTGAAAAATACTGGTTTTTGAAAAAAATAAAAATTAAATTTTTAAGCAAATTTTCTTAAGATTTTTTTTATATTAATCAAATAATGCAGGAAAATGAATTTTACTCAAAAAACTTTATAAAAAGCAAATTTTTACTTGTTTTTTTAAAAGTTTAATTTCTCTATTCAAATAAATATTTTTTTAAAAAATTTCTTTAGAATAATTAACTACAGCAGGGAAATCACTTTAAAAAATAGAAAATCTACATAAATAAAGAAAAATATGAAATTTTATATTTAAAGGTCAAAGATCAAATATTAAAAATCTTGCAAATTATCATACTTGTAAACAAAATCTTCAAAAAATTTAAATTAAAATTATGAATTACCATATTTCTCTTCTTTTGCTAAATATTTCAAAATATTTTGAAATCTCTTTTATTTGTGGTTAAGAACCCCCTTTAGGTCTAACCTCAAAAACATATGTTTCAAATAATATTGTATTAGAGGGTGATTTAGTGGAAAAAATTAAACACCTTTTCTTTGTTAAACATTAAAAATATAGATTGTCTAATACAACAAAAAAACTGTTATACAATTTTATATATAAAGCATGAATGAATGACTCTACTGAAAAAAAGTAATAAAAGCAACAACATTAAAAGGGGGTTTATGGTTATAATTCTAGAGAACGAAAAAAAGTACAAAAGTATAGGTATCTAAATAATAAGCGATATCATTTACTATTCCTTTAACATTTATTGTTAAACATTTACATTTAATATTTATTTTTAAGACCCTGTAATAAAATGTAATTAACAATTATGTTGGGAGGTCTGCTGACCTTTTCATTAAAGTTTAAAGCTTTAAATTTAAATAAAAATATCTTTCTATAAATTTAAAATAATATTAATTTCTTTTTTATTTCTAGTTTAAAACCTCCGCCCAAAGATGGCGTCACAAAAAGTAATCCGTCAAAACGTCATCGTGAACGTTTAAATGCTGAATTAGATTTATTGGCTTCATTGCTGCCATTTGAACAGAATATTTTAAGTAAATTGGATCGACTGAGCATTTTAAGGCTGTCTGTTAGTTATTTAAGAACAAAAAGTTATTTTCAAGGTGAGTACAAAGAAATTTTGGGAAACTATCAAAAAGTTTTAAATTATTAAAGAGAAGTGGATGGTTATTAATATATCGATTTACAGAAATATTCCTTGAAAAAACAACATGATTTCAATTTATTTTAATAGTTGTTGTTCAGTTGTAGTTTAGTTCTAGTTCAGTCCTACTTCAGTTCTAGTTCAGTTCTAGTTCCGTTCTAGTTCAGTTCTAGTTCAGGTCTAGTTCAGTTCTAATTCAGTTCTAGTTCAGTTCTAGTTCTGTTCTAGTTCAGTTCTAGTTCAGTTCTAGTTCAGTTCTAGTTCAGTTCTAGTTCAGTTCTAGTTCAGTTCTAGTTCAGTTCTAGTTCAGTTCTAGTTCAGTTCTAGTTCAGTTCTAGTTCAGTTCTAGTTCAGTTCTAGTTCAGTTCTAGTTCAGTTCTAGTTCAGTTCTAGTTCAGTTCTAGTTCAGTTCTAGTTCAGTTCTAGTTCACTTCTAGTTCAGTTCTAGTTCAGTTCTAGTTCAGTTCTAGTTCTAGTTCAGTTCTAGTTCAGTTCTAGTTCAGTTCTAGTTCAGTTCTAGTTCAGTTCTAGTTCAGTTCTAGTTCAGTTCTAGTTCAGTTCTAGTTCAGTTCTAGTTCAGTTCTAGTTCAGTTCTAGTTCAGTTCTAGTTCAGTTCTAGTTCAGTTCTAGTTCAGTTCTAGTTCAGTTCTAGTTCAGTTCTAGTTCAGTTGTTCTAGTTCAGTTCTAGTTCAGTTCTAGTTCAGTTCTAGTTCAGTTCTAGTTCAGTTCTAGTTCAGTTCTAGTTCAGTTCTAGTTCAGTTCTAGTTCAGTTCTAGTTCAGTTCTAGTTCACTTCTAGTTCAGTTCTAGTTCAGTTCGAGTTCAGTTCTAGTTCAGTTCTAGTTCAGTTCTAGTTCAGTTCTAGTTCAGTTCTAGTTCAGTTCTAGTTCAGTTCTAGTTCAGTTCTAGTTCAGTTTAGTTCAGTTCTAGTTCACTTCTAGTTCAGTTCTAGTTCAGTTCTAGTTCTAGTTCTAGTTCAGTTCTAGTTCTAGTTCAGTTCTAGTTCAGTTCTAGTTCAGTTCTAGTTCAGTTCTAGTTCAGTTCTAGTTCAGTTCTAGTTCAGTTCTAGTTCAGTTCTAGTTCAGTTCTAGTTCAGTTCTAGTTCAGTTCTAGTTCAGTTCTAGTTCAGTTCTAGTTCAGTTCTAGTTCAGTTCTAGTTCAGTTCTAGTTCAGTTCTAGTTCAGTTCTAGTTCAGTTCTAGTTCAGTTCTAGTTCAGTTCTAGTTCAGTTCTAGTTCAGTTCTAGTTCAGTTCTAGTTCAGTTCTAGTTCAGTTCTAGTTCAGTTCTAGTTCAGTTCTAGTTCAGTTCTAGTTCAGTTCTAGTTCAGTTCTAGTTCAGTTCTAGTTCAGTTCTAGTTCAGTTCTAGTTCAGTTCTAGTTCAGTTCTAGTTCAGTTCTAGTTCAGTTCTAGTTCAGTTCTAGTTCAGTTCTAGTTCAGTTCTAGTTCAGTTCTAGTTCAGTTCTAGTTCAGTTCTAGTTCAGTTCTAGTTCAGTTCTAGTTCAGTTCTAGTTCAGTTCTAGTTCAGTTCTAGTTCAGTTCTAGTTCAGTTCTAGTTCAGTTCTAGTTCAGTTCTAGTTCAGTTCTAGTTCAGTTCTAGTTCAGTTCTAGTTCAGTTCTAGTTCAGTTCTAGTTCAGTTCTAGTTCAGTTCTAGTTCTGTTTTAGTTCAGACCTAGTGTGGGACATGCCAGGTTCACTTAATCTCCATTTTTTTATATTTACGCAATTGTCATATTTTCTTTCAAAGTTTCTGATTACTCTTGTCTGTCTTTCCTCTCTGAGGAATATGTTTTTGTACAACAACCATTTCACTCAGCAATTTGCAAAATTATAAGGTTTTAGCATTTATTTTGCTCTTAAAGGGTTTCATTTCAAACTGCAGTATTTTAAATCAGAACAAATTTATTTCTTTTCAAGGTCACATGGTCAATGTAAAAAACACTATAATCAACATAAATGCATAACGGTATGAAAACAGAGGGACAGACAGACACACAAAATCAAGGCATAGAATTCACAAAAAAATATGTAGGACTTTTTCTTGCACTACTGCGTGTTTAAATTTAAATTGGTATCCTTATTTGCCTATATTGTTATTACTTGTTGTTGGCTTTAAAAAATTACCCTTAGCATGAATAGAAAAGAATTAAATCTTTTGAAAAAATATTAAAATTTATTTTAAAAACTTAAGGTTTTGAGCTCAACATTGCCTTAAATCACTGCAAAACAAAAGGAATTGAAGAAATTGTTATTGAATATTAAATGAATTTGAAAATTAGCATTTCGTTAGACAGGATATTTCAATGCGTTTGTTTGCGTTTTTAAAGTGTTTCGATAAATTTATTATTAATTGAGTTTTTGTTGTTTGTTACTAAACTGATACTTATTTTTAAATATTTTATTAGACTTTCCACATTCTCAATACAAGAAATGCATGAATGAATGAATGAATGACTGAGTGTATAGTAGACTCATTCATTCAAACTGAGTTTAAGTGAATGGTAGTTTCGATGATTGTAAATATGATTTATTTATAAGATTTTTTAACACTTACCTAGTTTTGTGTGTGATTTTTCATAATTTTATTGTAAATATGCAATTTTTTTCGCTGCTATTGAAATATTTATATTGTTTTGCCAGTCAACGAAAAAAACGAAGAAAAAACAGCTGAAACACAATATTTTTTTTGATGTGTTGCTGACGTTTTGGTCGTTTCGTCGTCGGTCACGCTATAGTCTGGTGTTATGACTGAAAGTATAGACAAGAAATACAAAACAAAAAATATTATTATTTTTACTCATACTCTTCTGTAGTAAAAATATTATCAAATATTGCGTGACTTTGCCGTTCGTTGTTGTTTAAATTCATTTAATGCTGCATTTAGTTTAAGTTTATAACAGATTTTTGTTTTCCTTTTTTTTTTGCTGTTTTAGTTCCCTAGTTGTTGCCAATTTGGGTTCGTAAATCTTTGATATTTAGTAGGTCTTTATTAGTTTTTATTAAAAAAATATATATTTGCCAAATTTACACGTCAAAGCAAATACAGTTATGGATAGAAAAATAGTTTATGGTATAATAAACAAAACGATTTTTGCTTAAAAAGAAGACCTCAGAAACTTCAAAACACTTTTTCTGTATTCAGATCCGGTTTTTAATCGACTCATACTCAGTTCTAACTGAGTTTGAGATAATTTTAAGTATTTTCTAGTTCAGTTCTAGTATTGCTCTAGTCTGTTCTAATTCTAGTTTCTGTTCTAGTTCTGTTCTAGTTCTGTTCTAGTTCTGTTCTAGTTCTGTTCTAGTTCTGTTCTAGTTCTGTTCTAGTTCTGTTCTAGTTCTGTTCTAGTTCTGTTCTAGTTCTGTTCTAGTTCTGTTCTAGTTCTGTTCTAGTTCTGTTCTAGTTCTGTTCTAGTTCTGTTCTAGTTCTAGTCTGTTCTAGTTCTGTTCTAGTTCTGTTCTAGTTCTGTTCTAGTTCTGTTCTAGTTCTGTTCTAGTTCTGTTCTAGTTCTGTTCTAGTTCTGTTCTAGTTCTGTTCTAGTTCTGTTCTAGTTCTGTTCTAGTTCTGTTCTAGTTCTGTTCTAGTTCTGTTCTAGTTCTGTTCTAGTTCTGTTCTAGTTCTGTTCTAGTTCTGTTCTAGTTCTGTTCTAGTTCTGTTTCAGTTCTGTTCTAGTTCAGTTTAGCTCGAGCTGCTATTTCTATTTCCAAACTGTTAAAGTTTGTTGATATTTTGATGAGTTTGACATTTTATGATTTTTTATAAACATACTATGACTCTCTCTTTAAAATTCCACTGTTTTTTAGATAATAATGACGACATTGTTTGTTTACTGTTATTATGGATTTTGATTTTGTTGCTATTTCTGTTTTTTTTCGATTTTATTTCATATAAGTAAATGTCAAACGTCAAGTATTTTAACATTTATAGTTACGCCATTTTGTTTTGTTGAGATTTTTTCGCTGTATATACTTATCTGCAAGATTTTTCTTTTATTTTTTGCTAATTTTTTTAGGGTGGGGTTGGTTGTATTTCAGTTTTCCAAAGATGTCTTTGTATAATATCTGGTAAATGTTTTGTTATATTTTTCTGTTCGTTTCGTTGCCCTTTTATTAGGGTGTGTTTTCCTCTTCTATGGTTTTTCTGTAAAAACTTAATGCTCTCCTCCAATATCTAAACGACGCCATTTTATTTGTAACTATAATGGGTTTTTGGTATCTTCTTTAACAACCCCAGCAGAGGAGGCAAAGATTTATTAAAGTTTTTCTTTTTTTGTTTCTTTTTCCACATTTTCATTTGGTGTAGTTTTTTTTTATACTAAAAGAAAATGTATTTTTCTTAATTTCGACTTTAATATAATTTTATTTCAGTTTTTAGTTCCAAAAAGGTACTTTTAAGAAAAGTACTCTTGATAAAAATAAACTTAATTCTATTAAACCACTACATATCTGTTTACTGGGTAATTTTTCGTAAGAAAGAAAATGTAAACGTTTGTAGTTTATTTGTTGCCCTGTCATTTCCTAACGCTCCCTGGGTGCCCAGCAAAATATTTAACAAAGAATAACATTATGCTTCAAGAACTTACTATCTCAATATGGGTGGTTTATATGCCTAACCAAATGTCTAACTCTGACGCACCCGTTCCATTACAAAATGTTCGAATACGTAATAAAAATCGCAAGTTTGTTATAGACCGACTAATTTGGTTCAGTTTTTTTTTTTTTTTCTCTTGTTTTTGGGAAATGGGCCACCTAACCAACAAACACATTTTTTCTGTTGTTTTGTTAATGTTAAACATTTAAACAGATAGAGGGTTGTTAGAAAATACATAAATAAATTAAAACAACAACAACAATTAATATTGGAAACAAAATAACATTTACGAGGACTTCTACTACTTGACCCTGACTTGCGCAGTTTTTCGCAATAAAAAAATAACAGAAGAGGAACGAAAAAAAAAACAGCAAAAATGTGGTAACATTTTTATTGAAAATGTGTGTATAATAAAATACCAAACTAATGAAAAGTGGTAATTAAAGCTAAAATGGTTAATTTTAGGCTTTAAATTTACTTTTTAAGAGAAAATTAAATTTTGTTAAAGAAATTTTAGATTTCGGGGGATATAAAGAATACAAGGCTTCAAGACTATAGCCAAGAAAGTATTCTAGATATAGTCCACAGAATATTGCAGAATACATAGTGTAGACCATAATCTAGACAGTATTATAGTCCATAGTTCAGACTATAACCTAGACTACAATTCAGATTATGGACTAGACTGCAACTCATACTATAAACTCTACTACAGTCCATACTATACTCCAAACTATAGTCTAATATTGTAGTCTACAATGTAGACTCTATATTATAGACTAGACATAGACCATATTATAGACAATATTATATTCTAGACTACTTATAGACGTTAAATTTCAGCTCAGGTTTGTAACTATTAGCATATATACAAGACAAGATATTCCAGACTAGTTCTAGTTCAGTTCAGTTCTAGTTTAGTTCAGTTCTAGTTCAGTTCTGTTTCTAGTTCTGTTCTGTTCTAGGTTCTGTTCTGGTTCTAGTTCTTTCTGTTCTAGTTCTGTTCTAGTTCTTTCTAGTCGTTCTAGTTCTGTTCTAGTTTCTGTTCGTAGTTCTGTTCTAGTTCTGGTTCTAGTTCTGTTCTAGTTTCTGTTTCTAGTTCTGTTCTAGTTCTGTCTAGTTTCTGTTCTAGTTCTGTTCTAGTTCTGTTTCTAGTTCTGTTCTAGTTCTGTCTAGTTCTGTTCTAGTTCTGTTCTAGTTCTGTTTCTAGTTCTGTTCTAGTTCTGTTCTAGTTCTGTTCTAGTTCTGTTCTAGTTCTGTTCTAGTTCTGTTCTAGTTCTGTTCTAGTTCTGTTCTAGTTCTGTTCTAGTTCTGTTCTAGTTCTGTTCTAGTTCTGTTCTAGTTCGTTTCTAGTTCTGTTCTAGTTCTGTTCTAGTTCTGTTCTAGTTCTGTTCTCGTTCTGTTCTAGTTCTATTCTAGTTCTTTTCTAGTTCAGTTCTAGTTTAGTTCTAGTTTAGTTCTAGTTTAGTTCTAGTTCAGTTCTAGTTCAGTTCTAGTTCAGTTCTAGTTCAGTTCTAGTTCAGTTCTAGTTCAGTTCTAGTTCAGTTCTAGTTCAGTTCTAGTTCAGTTCTAGTTCAGTTCTAGTTCAGTTCTAATTCAATTTTAATTCAGTTCAGAACTGAATTAAAATTGAATTAAAACTAAACTAGAACTAGTTCTGTTCTAGTTCTATTCTAGTTCTGTTCTAGTTCTGTTCTAGTTCTGTTCTAGTTCTGTTCTAGTTCTGTTCTAGTTCTGTTCTAGTTCTGTTCTAGTTCTGTTCTAGTTCTGTTCTAGTTCTGTTCTAGTTCTGTTCTAGTTCTGTTCTAGTTCTGTTCTAGTTCTGTTCTAGTTCTGTTCTAGTTCTGTTCTAGTTCTGTTCTAGTTCTGTTCTAGTTCTGTTCTAGTTCTGTTCTAGTTCTGTTCTAGTTCTAGTTCTGTTCTAGTTCTGTTCTAGTTCTCTGTTCTAGTTCTCTGTTCTAGTTCTGTTCCAGTTCTGTTCTAGTTCTGTTCTAGTTCTGTTCTAGTTCTGTTCTAGTTCTGTTCTAGTTCTGTTCTAGTTCTGTTCTAGTTCTGTTCTAGTTCTGTTCTAGTTCTGTTCTAGTTCTGTTCTAGTTCTGTTCTAGTTCTGTTCTAGTTCTGTTCTAGTTCTGTTCTAGTTCTGTTCTAGTTCTGTTCTAGTTCTGTTCTAGTTCTGTTCTAGTTCTGTTCTAGTTCTGTTCTAGTTCTGTTCTAGTTCTGTTCTAGTTCTGTTCTAGTTCTGTTCTAGTTCTGTTCTAGTTCTGTTCTAGTTCTGTTCTAGTTCTGTTCTAGTTCTGTTCTAGTTTTGTTCTAGTTCTGTTCTAGTTCTGTTCTAGTTCTGTTCTAGTTCTGTTCTAGTTCTGTTCTAGTTCTGTTCTAGTTCTGTTCTAGTTCTGTTCTAGTTCTGTTCTAGTTCTGTTCTAGTTCTGTTCTAGTTCTGTTCTAGTTCTGTTCTAGTTCTGTTCTAGTTCTGTTCTAGTTCTGTTCTAGTTCTGTTCTAGTTCTGTTCTAGTTCTGTTCTAGTTCTGTTCTAGTTCTGTTCTAGTTCTGTTCTAGTTCTGTTCTAGTTCTGTTCTAGTTCTGTTCTAGTTCTGTTCTAGTTCTGTTCTAGTTCTGTTCTAGTTCTGTTCTAGTTCTGTTCTAGTTCTGTTCTAGTTTGTTCTCTGTTCTAGTTCTGTTCTAGTTCTGTTCTAGTTCTGTTCTAGTTCTGTTCTAGTTCTGTTCTAGTTCTGTTCTAGTTCTGTTCTAGTTCTGTTCTAGTTCTGTTCTAGTTCTGTTCTAGTTCTGTTCTAGTTCTTTCTAGTTCTGTTCTAGTTCTGTTCTAGTTCTGTTCTAGTTCTGTTCTAGTTCTGTTCTAGTTCTGTTCTAGTTCTGTTCTAGTTCTGTTCTAGTTCTGTTCTAGTTCTGGTTCTAGTTCTGTTCTAGTTCTGTTCTAGTTCTGTTCTAGTTCTGTTCTAGTTCTGTTCTAGTTCTGTTCTAGTTCTGTTCTAGTTCGGTCTAGTTCTGTTCTAGTTCTGTTCTAGTTCTGTTCTAGTTTCTAGTTCTGTTCCAGTTCTGTTCTAGTTCTGTTCTAGTTCTGTTCTAGTTCTGTTCTAGTTCTGTTCTAGTTCTGTTCTAGTTCTGTTCTGTTCTAGTTCTGTCTCTAGTTCTTTTTCTGCGG